TTTTTTTTTTTTTTTTTTTTTTTTTTTTTTTTTTTTTTTTTTTTTTTTTTTTTTTTTTTTTTTTTTTTTTTTTTTTTTAGCTCCCACCAATAAGTGAGAACATGTGGTATTTCTTTTTCTCTGCCTGACTCGTTTCACTCAGTATTATTCTTTCAAGGTCCATCCATGTTGTTGCAAATGGTAGTATTTCATTCGTTTTTATAGCTGAGTAGTATTCCATTGTGTAGATATACCACATTTTCTGTATCCACTCATCCGATGATGGACATTTGGGTTGATTCCAGCTCTTGGCTATTGTGAAGAGTGCTGCAATGAACATTGGGAAACAAGTGTACCTTCGACTTGATGATTTCCATTCCTTTGGATATATTCCCAGCAGTGGGATAGCTGGGTCATATGGTAGATCTATCTGCAATTGTTTGAGGAACCTCCAAACCATTTTCCATAGGGGTTGCACCATTGTGCATTCCCACCAACAGTGTAAGAGAGTTCCTTTTTCTCCGCAGCCATGCCAGCATTTATCTTTCGGTGTCTTTTGGATTTTTGCCATCCTAACTGGGGTGAGATGGTATCTCAGTGTGGTTTTGATTTGCATTTCCTGGATGCTGAGTGATGTTGAGCATTTTTTCATATGACTGTTGGCCTTTTGTATATCTTCTTTAGAGAAATGCCTGCTTAGCTCTTTTGCCCATTTTTTGATTGGGTTGCTTGTTTTTTTCTTGTAAAGTTGTTTGAGTTCTTTATATATTCTGGATATTAGTCCTTTGTCGGATGTGTATTTTGCAAATATTTTCTCCCACTCTGTTGGCTGTCTTTTAGCTCTGTTAATTGTTTCTTTTGCTGTGCAGAAGCTTTTTAGTTTGATATAGTCCCATTTGTTTATTTTTCCTTTGGTTGCCCGTGCTTTTGGGGTCATATTCATGAAGTCTGTGCCCAGCCCTATTTGCTGAAGGGTTTCTCCTATGTTTTCTTTAATAATGTTCATAATGAAAATAATGAATAAGATACTGTTTGAAAAAGGCAGAGATGAAATATATCTTAGGTTCCCTTCTAAAATGGTTTTAAAGGCTTTTTTTTTTTTAAAGATGACCGGTAAGGGGATCTTAACCCTTGACTTGGTGTTGTCAGCACCAGGCTCTCCCAAGGGAGCTAAGTGACCATCCCTATATAGGGATCCGAACCCTTGGCCTTGGTGTTATCAGCACCACACTCTCCCGAGTGAGCCAGGGGCCAGCCCTGAAAGGTTTCACATGTCCAGGGATAAACTCAGCTGTCCAGAGCTCAGGTGTTATTTAGTTGCAAATGAAAGATACCCAATTTGAATTGGCTTAAGTGCAAAGAAAATTATTACAAGGATCCTACAGTATAAAACCAAGCATAGGAATTATTGTTGGGCTTTAGATATACCTAAATGCAGTCAGAGCTCTCAAAAACATTCTTTTTGTTCCTCAGTTTTATTCTTCCTCATTGTATTAGTTCCTGCTGCTGTAACAAAACACCACAGATTGGGTGGTTTAAACAATAGAAATTTATTGTCTTAGTTCTGGAGGCTGGAAATCTAAGATCCAGGTGTCAGCAGGGTTGGTTTCCCTGGAGTCCTCTCTCCTTGGTTTGCAGATGGCTGCCTTCTCACTGTGACCTCACATGGTCTTTTTTGAGCATGGCATCCCTGGTGTCTCTTGTACTTATAAGGACATCAATCTTATCTGAGTTACTGGGGGTTAGGACTTCAACATAGGAATTTAGGGGGGAGTATTGGGGACACAGTACAGTCCATAACATTCACTGTAAACTTGGCTGCCAGCAGCTCTGGAGTTTTATTTCTTGCACAGGTGCAGAGACCAACTTGATGGACTACAACCAAGTTTACATATCCAAAGAACTGCTGGCCCAGGTTGGCTCAGACATCAGTCCTTGGACAAGTGATTCATGGTCAAGGGATGGGGTCCTGTTAAATCACAGCAGCTCTCTGTTGGGAAA